GGGGCCAAAGATAGCATGGGCGTTAGAGTTATTAGTGAATGAAATGCATTGCGTTGCGTAGGGCGTTTTGTTTGGCTCCCCAAAGGATAACTAACAATGATTATATTTTATAATCAGCTTTTATTGAGCATATTTGACAATAAAAGCTGACTTGACTTGATAACATGCAAAAAGCCACTTTATTTTTGCTCCCCAAAAGATAACTAACAATTATTGTATTTTATGATCAGCTTTTATTGAGCATATTTGACAATAAAAGCTGACTTGACCTGATAGCATGCCAAAAGCCACTTTACTTGAGCAAGTCTGAGCATCTCAGGTGTAAACACACAAATCATCTTACACTTTTACACTGACAAGCGCTGCCAAACGAACTTTGCCAGATGCAGAAATGACCATTTATCAACATTGAAAAAATCCCCATTAAAATGATCAAAATAGTCATTTTGTCTCCAATCAGTATAGCAATGACATACAGTATTTTCTTTACGACAATCCAGTGTACCATCATTACAAATACCATCATCAGGATGTTTTTTTTAAGTCAAATATAGGCATTTGACAGATAAACCATGTGAAATTGTTATCTCAGGGAGGGAAGATATGTCGTGCGCTACAAATGCAGTCAGCCTGGTCCCATACAAGATGTCTTGAGACAAAGGCCAGGCTGGATTGAAGTCAAAGAGTGAGTAGTTTACATGGTCATCATCATAATTCAGCTTCTGTGCACATTTATCGTTGTTGGAGCTTGTGATTTGTTTTTATTTTATTTAATTTTTTTAATTAAAGTGATTCTGAGTGGGACTTCCATTGGTGTGGCGTGGGCTGGCTCAAGGAGAATTTGTACATGGAGGAACATGTAAGAGTCAACCATTTTCGGAACCATTACGAGGTAAGGAATCTCATGTATATTGTCAGTTTTTCTGACTTCATCGTTTTCGGTAATGCGCTCCAGTTACATGCTTTTTCACACAGCTGACACGCAAGGACTTCATGCTGAAAAATTTGAAAAGATTCAAAAAGAATCTTGAAAGGGATACCAGCTGCATGGAGGGCTCCAAATGTGATTTCTTCCCCTGTACCTTTGCGCTGCCAAATGAATATCATCTCTTTGTGGAGGAGTTCAAAAGAAACCCAGGCAGCACCTGGATCATGAAGCCAGTAAGCTCAAATTAATCACAAATACAAAATTATATGGCTTCACAACATATAAATGATGACGCTGCTGTATCTGGCATGTTACCCTGAATGAAGTCACCAAGTAATAAGACACTACATTGAGTGCAGTATTTTCACAGGCAGCAAAATCTCAAGGGGCAGGCATCTTCCTTTTTAAAAAACTAAAAGACATCATGGAATGGAGGAAGGTGCGTGATTTTGAATGAGAACAAATGGACAGATAAACAAGTACAAAACACAGAAATGTCATTTCATTGAAAACATTGCGTTCCAGCATGATGGCACCCGCTCGGAGGAGCAGAAAGATGCCACTCAAGTGGAAAGCTACGTGGCACAACGCTACATTGAAAACCCCTACCTACTTGGCGGTAATTCACCGACTCAAAAATCGTATTTTACATGGAAAAAAATAATTCAATAAGTATTTACTGGTTCATTTCCTCTTCACAGGGAGGAAGTTTGACCTCCGGGTGTATGTGATGGTTACATCAGTATGTAAATACAATTGTGAAGCCAACATTTAGATTGTATTTCAAATTAAAATGTTTTACACAGATAATATCGAAACTATTCATACCCTGGCAGCCAAATTTTGAATCAGAATTGGCTGGAAATTGCACAAGAAAGTGGCAACAAAAAAAACAATAAGTTGGAGAAGAGAGAAAAAAACTAGTCTTTTTTTTCATTCTGAGAATTATTCTGATGCCGTTTTGTTTTTCATTTTGAGGAAATCTCGTTCTCAAGGAGGGGTTTCACACTCATTGTTTTTCATAGCCCACATTGTTATGGTTTCCCTCAGACGGCCGTTTTAACTGTGAAACCCCCAAAATTTTAATCTCGCCTCATTATCATTGGATATGCACCAAAAAAATAATGGATTACGAGTTTTGAAATCATAAGTCAAGGATAATATTGACCCTTTTCACAACTATTGAAAAGGGTCAAAAAAAAAAATTGCAATCTGAATGTTGTTTACTACATATCGTTGCAGTCCTGTGAATAACATGTCCGTCCATTTTTGTCATTTAAAAAAAAAGTTTTACATCAATGGGTCGTCGACGTTTGAGACATCCCCTTAATGACAAAAAAAAAAATTTTATGACAAAAAATGGACGTGTTTTTCACAAGACTGTGACTGTTCTTGCTAAAAAAAATGCCCAATCAACAAATGAAAATCTCATGAATAATAATTTTGGTGCCTGTACAATATGTACACTGTTCCTAATACTGTATGTAATATTGTTGTCAGTATTTTCCCTTGAAGGCGTGGCTATATCGAGAAGGATTTGCTCGCCTCTCAAGCACACGCTTCTCCCTTAGTAGTATTGATGACAAGTGTATCCTTTCAGAGCATTTTGGGCAATGTGGATTTTAGTTTTACGCTATACTGCGCATTTTTTTTTTCATTGACATGTTGAACATAAAACCTCGAAGTTCCTACGTTTTCCTTATCGCCTCCTATACAGATGTGCATCTCACGAATGTAGCGGTTCAAAAAACAGCCCCGGACTATGATCCGGAAAAAGTGAGGAGTTTCACATTCGTGTCACCGTTACCTGCGGCAGCCTCTGACTTTGTGCCAGCTTTGTTCTCCTAAAAGTGTGTACCTGCCTTTTTACATAGGGATGTAAATGGAAGATACAGAAGCTCCGTCGGTATCTGACTGCAAAGCACGGAAGACAGGCAGTGGAAACTTTATTCAAAGAGATGGATAACATCTTCATCAGCAGCCTCCAAAGTGTGCAGAAGATCATTATCAATGACAAACACTGCTTTGAGCTCTATGGCTATGACATTATGTTGGATGAGAACCTCAAACCGTGTGAGTTTAAATCGAAAGTGAGTTTGTTTTTGTGCAACGCGTGCGATCGTGCATTTGTTTGGTGTTCGCACGTAGGCACGCGATTTTAATATGCATACAGATACACATGCGCAAACACGCGCAAGCGCAGAGATTAGAACGCGCGCAAACATGCTGAGGTGTTGTGCATTCAACCTGCCAGGTGGGAATATTAAAACAAGTCATAAAACCTTTGGCTGAAGGGAGGTACCGTATGACTGTCTGGTAGAAACAGTTTACTTATATAGCAAGACATGCATGGGCAATGTTCCTGCTATATTAAAGGCAATGCTTTTGGAAATATAAAAAGCATTCTTTGCATTTCTACCTAAGGTCCCAAATTGAAAAACGGAACTCATGTCTAATTTGTAGGTGGTTAATTGAAGTCAACGCTTCTCCGTCACTCGCACCTAGTAGCCAGGAGGATTACGACATGAAGTACAGCCTGCTGGAAGACACTGTGAATATTGTGGACATGGAGGGAAGGTAAATCAACGTCTCTTGATGGCTTTTATTGAAATGTAATATGTAAAAAGTATATGGGCAAAAGTCTCTGCACGTACCTCTCAAAGGGGTTGGCTTAAACTTGAGAATGTCTTTTGTCTTACCGTGACATTTCGGTTAATACTTTGTCAACTGTGTGGGAACTTACGGGAAGTCTCTCTCCAATGACATTGGCACCACCAAATAGTTTTGGATCAACTACAACAGGTTGTTGTTGTCAGTCACGCTCTAACGTCAAACATCAGAAACCAAATTTCCACTGCCATAAAATCTTGGGACACACGCAGTCGCCTAAAGGGAGTGGAATCATTTTCAGCTGAAATGTTTGGGTTTTTTTTTTTTTTTTGCAACGTACGATTCCAGGATAACCAATAACGTACGTTGCAATACCTTTGTCCATACAGCGAATGATATGTTATTAATCTGAATGAATGAATGTATTTCTTATGAGCACGACGCAGCGGTAACCTTGCTGTTCTTCCTCAGGTTGACAGGAAAGGAGAAGAGGGTGGGTGGGTTTGATCTCGTGTGGAATGATGGGCCTGTCTACAGTGAGGACGTCGACCCAGAAATATTTGGCTGTTCGTGTTTAAAAGCCAACACATACTTGGGTAAGGGAGTGGCTTATTTGGAGTCAACAAGCTTCTGTTACAAAGTTCAATAAAACATGTACATAATGTGACACGGAGCAGAATGAGAAGATAATTATTTGGCATACCTTTTTTTTTTTCAGGATGTGCAAATGACCGAGAACACCAGCTAAATTCGCTTCTGAAAACATTTCCTGGCCCGAAGAGGATATAAAATTGCCAGTTTGCTGTTGCACCACGAAATAACTTGCTTCATCGCCTCAGTTTGTAGCATGAGTCTCAAGAGTTGGCATTGAGTCTTTCCTTTTCCTAACTGAACCGCAACGATAGGAGATTACTTCTGTTTTCATTTATTATCGGTAGCATATTCTTTCAACAAACAACTGTATTGTCACGTATCAGTTCTCATTCGGTCATTCTTTCCAAATTACAGTGCTAGCTTCTTGTTGGGTGATCATTTCTTTAGCATTCTGATGTCAGATGTCTTCCAAGACAACACTTATTTTTGTACCTTTGCATGAGCAATATTTCAATTTGGCACATAATTCATTGTATTAAAAATGGGCTGTTTATTTCATGAATGCTTTTGATGAGCAAATCACTTTTGCCTGATTGGGCTTTGCACAGACTCCAGCTACCTGTTTTGGGAACGTCATTACACAACTAGAAGTGCGGAGCGATAGGCAAAATACCAGGAAGATGAGCGAGCCAACCGGGTGGCCAACCTTAAAGCACCTCTACGGAGGCAAGAAGATTTCTTGAAGAAAGCAATCAAAAAACTTAATGCGGCGGTCGAAGCGAGCTACATGGTCAGTGACATGATTGCTACAATGATTAGCGAATTTGCTCAATAAAAATACACAAATTAGACTCAATTCCAAAACGTGTTCTCAAGAAGTAATGGATACATACAGTGTAACGCATTTTTGTGTAGTCAACTGTCATCCATGTCTTGGGCCTATTTTCTGTGGAGTTAACTTGCTATAATTCATAAATCATTTAAAAGTGAGACAGCACAGTAGACAGTTATTTAGCTTTTTTTATTTTTTTAATAAATACTGTTCATGATGTGTATGACACATGTAAACATAATAACGGTGATGATGAATACAATTCCAACACAATACGTACATAAATATAACTATGGTGTATAAAATTTGGAAAAATACGCATTTACATTCATAGCAAACATTACTGTCATTAATTTCATCAGAGCTTAGCTCTTTGCAAAATACAGTTCATATTCAAAGAACAACAATCCGTGCTTGAATACACAAGAAGCCCTTTTGAACAAAAAAAAAATGTGAAGCAACTTGCACATGTTAAACGAGCACACTTTCCTGCAGCACACTGCAATTTATTAATCGGCCTGCTTTTCAGACAAGGATGCAATGAATGCACAGAACACATCTTAAAATGAGGCACCCGAGAGCAAAGTGAAATAAATAAATACATTTTTAAAGAGCACTGAAAACGTAAACATAACTACATTAAGATTGTTATCACCAGTGTTTATGATCATTATTCAGTGACATAAATAATGTATGCCAATAGCTGGTAACCATCACGATGCATTACTTATGCTGAAAGCTGGCAATGGTTGCCGTTTTCATCCTTTTTTAGACATTAGTAGCATAACAAGAAATGACGATGGAGTGTGGTTTGGTTCTTATTGCATGAGTTTTCTGAGGAGGAGATATGATTAAGCCTCCTGTACGTAGTGCAATGTAATAATCGTTTACTGTTGGATACAATGTTGTGCTTTGAATTTCTGATCCGTTATATTGTTACATGGTACCGCTTGAAAAAGTGATCTGGACAGCGGCGTAATCTTACAGCACGTTAGTATTACACAGAAAGCAAGCATACGTTCAAGCTCCAGTGCCAAGTGACCACAGAGTTTGGCCTACTGGATACATGTTACTTGGGAGCAGATTGGACATTTTTTGTTTTTCCACCACTAGAAGGCGCTTTCGAAAGAGACCGTGGCTCTTTCGCAGCTCTTTTCAAGGCGGTCTTAGGTGCCTGAGCTCCTGCCGCCGTCCTCTGCCAGTCTTCTAATTTCTTTGCTGTGATGGCCCCTTTCTTACTTGCCCCTGCAACATGTTTCTCAGCACCTGCTGCTTTAACCACACTGGATTCCTTCTTAACATCGGTCTCAGAGTTGGTTCGAACTCGACTTTTCCTCGCCTGACCTTTACTGTTTGGGTTTGATCCCAATTCCTGGGGTTGTTTTCGAGCATTGCCTGCTGCATGCATGTGCCTAAGATGGCCTGTTGAGGGGCTCACTGGGATCTGGGCTCCACCTCCGCTTTGTGCTCCTTGGTTCCTCCCTTCTTTGGTGGCTTCTTGTGTTTCGCTGCAGCTCCTCTTCACAGGCGCCCCTGGTCGGGTTTTACGCTCCAGCAGAGGGCTGAGACGTGAGTGGCGCTGGTATGCGTAGGCAGAACAACTCCCGTTGCACAAAGGGTAGCGAATGTGACAATGCGGGCAAACTAGCGGGTGGACCTGTGCGGCAGCGGATGCTGGTGACGGCGGATTTATCAAATATGGGAAGGCTCGCTGGCTGTGCCGCGGCCCTTTTGGGGAGTTCAGTCGAGATGATGGAGCTGTATGAGGTCTCGGTGAGTGACCGGATGCGGCCTGAGGCCTTGTGTGTCTTCCAGGTGGGCGGCTGCTCTCAGCCTGAACGGTTTGAATTTGGAGCCACTCCAACTGCAGGAGCCTCTCGAGGAATCTCTCCAAAGGCCCCACCGGTTTAGGCCTGGGGGCACCACGACCTTCTGTATGAAGAAACACCGCTAGCTGTCTAAGGCTCCAGGTGTTGAAAGGTGGAGGAAGAAAGTCTGGGTAACAGTGGGCGGGTGTTTCACTCTCGTCTTCATCATCTCCATTCCCATGAGGTCCCGGGATGTCCAGTGGGAAGTCATTCGAGTTAATGACCTCAGCTCGCAGGTTTAGATTAGGAGGTGTACAAGGAGTACAAGGTGATGGCAGCACAGGCAGCCTCTCTGAGTCAGATAGGTCACTGGCACTGTCACTGTCGTCAACCTTGTAGGGGTCCTGAAGGGCCTCTGGTATAGGGGCTGGGGAATGCGTTAGCGGGTGTTCCGGCATGTGTCGGAGGCCTGATATTGGGGACAGGGGGAGAGAGAGTGCGCGTCGATTCTTGCCCACCCCTCCATGATTCTGCTGTAGCTCAGTGCCGCATTGTGACATCCGTTGATGGTTTTTCCTTTCCTCATTTCGGTGCACACTTGAATGTTGGCCAAGTTGAGGTCTTGCATCTTGCGCTTCTGCCGGGCTGATAGAAAGATGGACATACGTGTGTGAATGTGAGCATTCAGTGATTGACTGTACCCGAAACACAGCCTTCATACAATACAAAGTTCATACCTGGCGAGTTTGTTTGTGTTCCGAAAGGTGCCAGATTTCAACTTGGAACTCCTTGGCTGTGAACCCTGTGAAAGCAAGCCTCTTTATATTGTACACTTTGCAATAATGTGAACGTTTTTTAATTTTTTTTTTTTCATTCATTCATTTTCTGATCCGCTTTATCCTCACAAGGGTCACGGGGGGTGCTGGAGCCTATCCCAGCCGTTTTCGGGCAGTAGGCGGGGGGACACCCTGAACCGGCTGCCAGCCAATCGCAGGGCACACAGACGAACAACCACCCCCACTCACAATCACATCTCGGGACAATTTTGAGTGTTCAATCAGACTGCCATGCATGTTTTTGGAATGTGGGAAGAAATCAGAGTACCTGGAGAAAGCCCACGCAGGCACGGGGCCACCCAAGTTAATTTTATGTCCCTTTAAATCCCATCCATTGTATAAAAACCAAACTTCATTTCAGTCAAGTCATGTTTATCTATCTAGCTCTTAATCACAAGAGTGTCAAATGGCTTCCCAAGCTGACAGTTAACAAATATCCATCAGCATCTCCTGATTTAGCCCCCCCCCCCCAAAAAAAATGTTGTCAGCGTCGTCTATGTTACATATTTAATATCTATTCACCTGCTCTACTGTTGCCACGATCTGGTCCTGACCTGGTCCTGGCAGGCCACTTTTCATTTGGCCGACTGCTTTCTTCATCTTCTTACCTTTCTTTAAACTGTGCAAACAAAGAACGGTCATCTCAACATGCGCCCGACACAAATCAAGTTTAGCACGGTGGATTCAATGTCCTACCCTGTGTTTGGTCCGCTATTTTCGCTGTTTTTGACGCGGATCTTCTCTTTGGAAACGACGCGTTTCATTATCGTGGATGCTGCGCGCTCTTGTATGATGGGCCCCATGCTGTAGTTTTGCAGCGGCGATGGTCATTTGACTCTATCAAGTAAATTCACACTCTAGCGAAGAAAAAGACCCAAATGGTCTATCGAATCAGATGTTCAGCTGTAGGAATAAGGATGTTAACACCCATTTCTGGAAAAGTACTGCAATGCATCATGCGTCAGTGTAGTCAGCTGCCTCTGCCGAGCGCGTAGCTGCCGTCTTCCCACTCATTTAGTCTCTTCTCTGCGGCAACACGTCAGCTTGGATTCCATTGAAGCAGTGGCACAACAGACGTATATTCATTTTGTACATCTCCGCGATGGCAATTATAAGATAAATAACTCGGTCATACAGGTTATTATTTTGGTTTGTCTCGCCTTCCCAGCCAGTGACAGGTTTGTTTACCTGCCAGTGACTGGCTCACTGCTAGTTGTGACGTACCCTGTCCATGTGCATTATGGGACTTGTAGTTGAAACTTTCAGGCCTGGCTTTTAAATCAAACATTACAGCCATGTTAGTTCGTGCGCTTCCGGTTGATAAACAGCCACATTATATCATTTGAGCAGAAGAAGACAGGCGCAAGAAACCATGCCATATTTGGCTTTAGTATGAGCCACTGATTTCAAAGTCACTCAAATTCCCATAAAACATCAGTTCAAGTGCTCCTTCCTAAACTGCTCATCATCGAAAAGAAACTCAGTTGGCACCTTTATTTTGTATGATGTTTGCGGGGCTAAAGTGAAAGATCAAGTCGTATTATTGTCGCCGAGGCTATCATACAGGAATTGAAGATCAAGTCGGGACTGCAGCCTGAAACATAAGCACGATTTTTATCTGGTGAGATAAAGTTTACGTCTCTTTTTAATGAATTTAGTGAGGCACGACTTCAACATGCAGCCTTGCACGTACTCGTGGAATACACGCCCACCGGTTATTTCCTGCTTTTAGTGTTTTTGTTTTCACATGCAAGTCTATACTCCTGCTATTTTCCATCAGCTTTGGACCATCACAGTGCATTTCAAGAGAAAGTTATTTCGATACTAAAAACGGAAGAAAATTCTGGTCTCCATTTCCATATCTTATCCCAGCAGACATTGGGTGAGAGGCCGGGGTTCGGTCGCCACTCAATCAATTCGTAGGACAGACAAACACTCAAGACATTTACACTGATTGGCAGTTTAGACTTCTAGATTTATTCCTTCGAAGAAAAAATATTCACACACGCCGTAGGGACACATACAATAGTCAGTGTCAAAATATACTTCCTAATCAGAGAAAAAAAAATACAAGTGTTTGTTAATAAAGCCCAATTGCAATTTTCACTTCTGTATTCTCCATGCATGCATGGCACCACGCTGTCCCTAACAATTTGTATTTACAGTCAGACAGAATAATTAATGTATACGCACATCAGGAAAAGCAAAACTTTCATAAATACTTTTGACTATTCATTTATTTCTCATAATTTTCAATAGTAATTATACACTATATAATATTTAATTCGAATAATGTATGGCTTACATAAATACAGTAGACTCCAATGATTGCCAACATTCTTTGCAGATGAGCACAGCACCAGTCCACTGACACCATGGACAGAGGGTGGTTTATTGGAAAAGAGAAGATTTTGCCGACAACATCTGAACAGGAGACACATTTGCCAAGTGCTTCTCGATTATTTACAAAGCCCTATATGGGCATCAATCTGAATGACGTGCTACGGCAAGTAAAAAGTGATGTGGAGAAGAAGCCGATTCCCATCCGTCCACCAGGTCCTCGGGTGTCACCGCCAAGCATTCGGGACGTCCACACTCTCTTGTGTGAACCTGTACCAAAATCCATTATCCGTCAACGCTCACAGTCTCTGCCAGCTACCACAGAAAAGAGAAGAAAATGCAGACATTTTGGTGTGCGATTTATTGACTCCCTGGGCCTTGATCTGGAGGATATCAAGTTTTTCAAATCCGGAGATGAACCATCCGTACCACATCACGTTAGTTTTCGATTGCTGATGGCTGCAGAGTTGGCCGATGGAAACCATTTGGAGATATCCTTGCCTTACTTACAGCCGCTTTTTGACCAACAGACCGGCGATCATCCAGGATTTTTGCATCGTCTTCTCAAGCACAAAGTGTGTCTCGAGAGAGTCCTATGTTTTGAATTCGGTGTGATCGGAATTGCCCAAGTGCTCAATCTGGATTTTGAGAAAGATGTAACTGCTCGCTATTCATTTACAGAGTGGAAGAGCTATGCAGAAACTAAGGCCTCGTGGGTCTCTACTAGCTCAAAGATTTGTGAAGGAGGAAGTCAACTCACTTGTGATGTGTTCCGTTTCCACTTGCCTGTCCCTCCATTCCTGCAGCCTGGGGCACTGTTAGAATTTGCCATCAAGTACAAGGTTTGTGGAGTTGAATACTGGGACAATAATTTTGGAGAAAATTACAAGTTACTTTGCCATCACTACAAGCACACTGTCCCCAAAGAATGTGAGGATAGCATGGTTCACTTTTTTTAGGATGCGGCGTTCAGGCACAAAAAAATGAAAAGCACACTTATTGAAAATAAATTGACTTTCTTGTGACATTGACAGGTGACTTTTTGCAAATAAATAAATGAATAAAAATACACCGATGATTTGTTGTTACGCATAGACTGTGAATGAACGTTAACTTTTGACATGAGAGAAATTAACACTAATAGCAAATGGATTTTTATCTGTCTGCAGCTTCCAAAAGTTAATTTTATGTCTTTTTAAATTGCACTATTTGATTTCAACTTTCACTTTTGTGTCTTTTTATTTTGCGGTATTTGATTTCATCTTTCACTTTTGTGTATTTTTATATTGCGGTATTTGATTTGCACAAGAAAGCACATGAACGTTTGGACTTTCATTGGAAAGGAGGTTCACGAACTATTCCATTACAGTATATTGAAAAGGAAGTGATCCCCAAATCTTCGCAAAGCCTAATGCCAAATGTGTGTCTTAGGGGGGTAACTGTAAAAAAAATAAAATAAAGTAAAAATCTTTTGTCGTGTGTTACTACAAACCATAAATAATGTCTATTTTGTGTAATAAAGATGTGACTAAATCACTGGTGTTTATTTTTCCGTAAACTGCACTGTTTACATCCACCATACAGAGTAGACTACATTTCTCTCTGGTGAATTATGACTGGCTGACAGTGGTCGGATTCACATTTTGTATTTGAATTTTGTCTTGATGGGCTTTGTTGTCATACTGTATCATATTTGATCGTTCTGACAATATGATGCAGATGAATTTGGGTAACATGCATATAAATATGAGCCATTCCAGATTTGGAGGACATTTTACATTCCACCCATCAAATCTTAAATAATCCACATAAAAAATACTAAAACATGCAGTTTCTTAGTAACTTGATTTTTATTGAGACCAGATCTATAAAACGACGAGAATATAATACTTGAAAATAGTTGTAAAAATACCAAACATGTCTGGAGTACTCCCGAGAAAGGCATTTTTTTTCTCTTGTCCCGACGCCCCCTAATGACTTAAATTGAATTTCAAATAAAACAGTTACAATGAAATTTAAATGTCATTTTTCGATATCATTTGTTTCATTGCTTTAGCTTGTAACTCTGGGAACATTTGTTTTAATAAGCAAAATATTTTAATTCATTATTATTATTATTCATAGGTGATACGGTGGTGTGACTGATTAGTACGGCTGTCTCACAGAGCAGTGAGTTCAAATCCAACCCCAGCCTGTGCGGAGTATGCATGCTCTGCCACCTGTGCCTGCCCGGGTTTTCTCCGGGTACAGTACTCTGTTTTCCTCCCACATTAACAAAACAAGCACGGTAGGTTGATTGAACGCTCTGAAGATCTAACTAAGAATAAAACGTTTAAATTAAGGAAACGAAATGAAATTATATTCATTTAAAAACCAGTTGCGTAACGTTCTACTTTTGGGGAATCATTAACACGTATGAGTGAGGGGTTGGTTATTCATGGTATCGCAAAAAGGTTTGGGGGTAAACAACATAAAAAAGGTTGGTAATAGCTGTTCGAAACCAATCCATCTGTACTGCCTGACGCTCTCGGTGCCCCGCGGTACTCGTCGGCGTCCGGCGCGTGTATAGCGCGCAGCGGCATTTTGTGATTGGTGCACTCTGAATAACCGAATGGGTTTCAACAACGCAACAAGTTTCCGAACGGTTGAGGTGAATCAACGGGTGCCCTGGACTCATTCCCGAACGTACCCTAGGTTGAACAATAACCCGGATGTTGGACTAGGAGCAGGCCATTGGGGAAATTGCCACCTGTTTATTGGACGACAGAATTTGGCGGTTGTACAAGAGACTGGAGGACTAGAGGAGTGAGAAAACTTGCCTCGCGAACATCTAACACCACAGTGTCGCTGTCGCCGTTTTAGTTGTAGTTCACCTCACTGTTGTAAGTTTATTTATTTTGCGTGCTCTAAACACGAAGCCTTTTGATGACCGCGTGCCATGTTAAACTTGCAAAGAGACTTTTAAGGTAGGGCTAAACCAACTCTCGTCTATGCCAATGTAGCCTCGTTGCCCTTTGTATATACAGAGGGTCAATACATTGACATTTTGTGACGGTTTTCTTTTATATTATGAGTCCTCAGCAAAACAAGACAAAGGGTTTACAGTGAGTCGTTTTCGCGGCAGATAGCATAAAGTCCCACAGAAAGTTCACAAGGTTTGGCTTTCGGTTGACATTTTAGGAAGACACTAAAATGGTCAGCAACTTTTACAAGCAAACTTAATATGACATCTAAACTTGAATGTTTTTGAAGTTGGCTGGCTTCACTGTCTGTACATGTGTCCCTCCACTTTCCCCCTCCAGATGTTTTGAAGATAAAACTTAATTCCACTGAAACAAGAAGAATGGCCTCCGAGGTACCGTATAACATGTCATGTTGTATACTGCAGTGTCATAGCACCACCAAACAAAAATGCTACAAAAAACATATCCAGTGGTCCCTTGTTTGTTCAGTTTGTTTCTTGACCGAGTTTCATGACCATTTCACCACAGTAACATATGCCATTAAAGCGTTGCAGCAAAGGAAAACAGACAAAAACTACTGTCACGTGTTTAATAAAAACAAACACAAAAAAGCAAAAATGTCAAAATTGTACTTTACGCAAGCATACTACAGCAATCACATCATTCAACAAAATGTACAGAATAACAGTGTGCGTCATTCAGTGAGCATTGTCCCCTTCCTTTTATTGAGCGTGCCTTGGCCACCATGGAGCAGAACAGTACGTATGGACGTATTGCGTACCCAAGGAGATTTTCTGAAGTAACATCGGAGAAGTCTGTCACAACAAAGCAGCAATATTAGTAGTTTTACACAGAGGATAAATAATGTATGCCTGTGAGTATTTTTCTTA